TTCATGGGTGGACTCACGATGTGCTAGGAGAATCAATAGAAGCTCTGTTTCCCAGTTACCTCCCTTCAAGAAAAGCCACTCCTTCCTTGTACGGTTATTTCTATCTGTCAGACCATTCCTTTGTGGATGATATGGTATTGTTCGGATCTTCTTAATCCCCAGCTGTTGCAAACGGGAAGTGAATTATTCGCTTTCAAAACAAAAACCCTGATCTGTCAATATCGTCTTTGGTACACCGTGGTCTCCAACGATGTGTCGAACTACTGCTTCATTCACAGTTTTCGCGCGTTGATTAGGGATCGTGATGGCGTCTACCTATCGTGTAGCGTGTTCCGTCATCATCAAGGGTTACTGATTGCCACTGGATGTCTGCGGAAACGGACCCACCATATCTATGGACCACAAATCACTTGCTGCTGTAGCTGGAATCAACTGCTGAGACGGTCGTGTGCACTGGTCTGTTTTCGCCAAATGGCACTGTGGACATCCGAGTACAAATCTTGCCAACTCTCTCATTCCTTGTCAGTACCTGCTTTGTCTCAAGATGTTGGTTGTTCTGTCTACTCATGTATATGCTAGCTAGTGACATTCTTGTATCATGTCATGGCGTAGAGACTGAGGTATTACCACCAACCAGCTCCCATCGTTCTCTTGGCAAGTCAGAGTTCCGTAGGCGTTCCACATCTTATCAGTAACACACGCCATAACTCTGCATATTAGTCGACCTCATTTCCTTACCTGTTAAATAAGCCGCATAGATATTTTGAAATGTCTATAGACATTTACTAGTTTAAGTAGACTTGTTCAGTTTAAGGCACTTCATCAAGTACCCATACCATTTTGCACCTAGAACTTAAAGTGGTTCGGCATAAACTAACTTTTCATCTTTTTTAGGTAATTTGTTTCCATTTCTCGAATAATCTCTGGAGTTTGTACAGATTTTTCCATTATCTTCAAATCAACTTGATATGTGTACCACATTTAACTTAAATAAAAATACGGAAAATGTGGGAATAAACATGGGCAACTGGTTTGCTGACGACAAGGGAAATATGGGGCTAAGAGTGGGTAAAATAGGAAAAAGTGGGTATCGAATTATAACAGCAGGAGGCGAGACATGGGAGCCAAGGTATATTTTTCATTGACCAAACCGCTGTTTATAATCGTTAACCAAAACATCACCGAGCGTATGACTTCGGTTCACATCAAACAGCATTAAACAGAATGTTGAAATATACACAGTATTCTGTTGCCAATGCGGTAGTGAACTGTGGGAATAACATTCCGACTCTAACATCAAATAGAATGTTCAAACAGATAATTGTATTCTGTTGTTAGTGCCAAATTGAACTGTGGGAACATGGGAGAATAACATTCCGTTGACACACATTGTCTCTATCACACAACCACAAAATGTCTAGATCGTGAAGGATCGTGAACCTACTGAAAATGCTTGAAGACCACTCGTCTCCTCAGAATACTATGTGCTATAAGTTAGCAACGCGAGAATATTAGAAAGTGGATTGGTGATACAAGGATTGTTTATTTCTTCACTGACAATGAACACGAACTGTAGGGCTAGAAAGCCTAAGGTCTATGAATAAACTTCAACATAAATCACAATAATACCTTTGATTACTTTTCACTAGTCTTCTGCCAATAAGCTTACGATTAATCCACAGCTGTTGTTGCTCTTTCCGGCCAAACTGAGATCAGTTCGAAAGAACAAACCATATGTTTGTAAGATACAGGTAGTGCTGTTAAAAAGCTACATATTTGCAGACCCTACTTGACGTACATTTTGTCTAGTTACCCAATAATTCAATAATCTACCTACATGTTGTTCACTCATTGTTCGCCAACACTGACAGTAGGGAAATACGGAAAAAGTAGATTATTTTGCCCACATGCCCATCGATCAAAATTGGCTACCTGTCCCTGATTTCGCTCACTTCTCCGGCTGAGTTACTATTAAATATTTTCGAACAGTTTACTGCAACTTTATGCTAATAGGAGGTATTACACCTTAAAGTTGAGATGTTGTTGCGCAGTTATAATGCTGAAATATACAGTAATACACAGTGCTTTCTGATTTGCCTGCAAGCCAAACGAACTAACTCACTAGATAAAGTGTACAGTGATAGACACGAAACAGACAATATGTGATTTTCCCAAGTCCAACAGCTTACTGTACAGCAATCTAGTCGTGAAACCAAAAACTGCTGAGGTTTGAGTTCTAGTAAGACAGCTATCATTCATTTGAAACGATGTGTATTGGGTCTAGAAGCTTCAAAATGAACGAAACCTCGACATTCTGAATTCTAGTACATGCTAGTCCATTCCAATGAACCAACTTCTGCGTAACTTTTACACATTTCAGCCTAATATTTTATCGAAGTAATAGATCATTTCATCGACACAGTGCACGCGGAAATACAATTGTCCTCCCCGGAGCTGATAATTTTCTCAACCATAGGAATTTACTCAACGGTTCATGTGTGACAAGAAGCATTTGAACACATGTTGTATTGTAGTGGTCCATTTTATTATTCATCATCGTAGTATACTTTCACCATGTAATTGAACTTTGATTTGTTTATCACTCTAAAGATTGCATGATAACAACTGATACATTGTACATGCACAACTTTTGAATTTTGACTATCGTGAGAATACACGTTCGTACTGCTTCTCAAATGCCTTTTGATATAGGATATATGTGTACTCTAGTTTGGTCAAATAGAGCACCTGTCTGTCTGTTTTCGACATAGGAACTTTGCACATATGTGAGGCAGTTCAAGTCGATGTAAATTCACAGTCTCGTCGGCTGATTTCCCCTCCTTAGCTAGCACTCGATGCCTAAGCTCAATATTACTCACCTTATTATACCACTTCACGCGGGAGATAGAACGCAGACACCTATAATCAAAGACAGCTAATCTTTTCATGTCTTCCGCTCTCAATGGTCAGGTCTCACAGCCATAAAGGAGGACTGAGCGGACTGATGAGCAGTACACACGCCCTTTTGTCGATAGCCAACCGGATATCACGTTTACGCCAGAGACGGTGTAAACTGGCATATGCAAAACTAGCCCTCTGTATCCATGCTGAGATTTCGTCAGAGATCAACCCGTTGGCACTGGCTGATGGTTCTTCCCAAGTAAGTGAAGCGGTCAACGTGCTCTACCACTTCACTTCCTATTTCTAATCTAGGGGTCGGTGTAGTCCAATCCTGCAACATCATCTTACATTTTACAGGGGCGAATCGCATGCCAAACATACGAAGATTGTTGCTCAAGGTGTTCAGAAGACTCTGCTCTATTTTGTCAGCGTCCTCGCCTAGAAGGACTATATCTTCTGCATATTCTAAGTCAACGAGATTATTCCATGATAGCAAATCAATGCCTGAGTCTCTGAAGTGAGTTAGGGTTAAGTACATTAGTACGTCTATGATGAAATTGAATAGAAATGGGGATAATGGGCATCCTTGACGGATGCAATGTATTTTCTCGGCATTTCCTTTACAGCCAAGTATCGCCAGAGAACCTCTCGGTCGACAGAATCGAATGCCACCTTTAGGTCAAGAAATATAATGATTGTTGGACGCCGGTAGGAATGCCTATGTTCTAGAATCTGTCGGAGGGTGAAGATATGATCAATACACCCTCTTCCTGGCCTAAAACCTGCCTGCACCACAACAGGATGCCAGTTAAGAATTATTTAGAACAATCAGCAGTCCTCCTCCTCCTGTATGATCCAGTGACAAGGGAACAATGAATGTCACTCAACAACTCAAAAGGCGTCCGAACTAGCGAACTGTTAGCTGAAAGCCAAGTGTGTGAAACAGCGAACAAAAACCTACATCAAAGAAAACAGTATTGATGATCTCCATGAAACTGATACAAGAGATTTATAGCTTAGAAATTTACAATTTCATCACTGGTTCCACGAAGAGATTAGGAAAAAAGAGAAACTTCTATATTAGTTTGTTTATTAGATATATCACACAGTGAAACTGTATCATTACATACTGGATGACGTTTCGAACAAAATTTATTGTTCATAATCATATCAATTGTAATCACACGACTTCGAAACTTGAGTTTTATAGTTTTCTTTGTTCTCTCCTATTTTCGTCGTTGGGGTAGTAGAATTTTCCAGATATCCAAGTGGACAGGCGTTGAATCATTCCTGTTGCAAGTGTTTGCAGTTGATTCGATAAACAAAGCTTCCGTTGTTATCAATAATCGCAGGCAGGGTATTAGATAAACTAAATTGTTTTGTTTTAAAGGCCCCATAGTACTACCTTACGCAGAGTTCTTAACAATGCAGGCAGGAATAAAAGTGGCTGGCATTCAAACCATCCACAAACTCAATTAGAAATAAGCTTTGTCGGTTAAAGGGTCAATCCTGTGAAGCCTTTAAAACAAAACAATTTAGTTTATCTAATAACCTGTCTGCGATGATTATCAGGTTAAATACATAGGTCAGAGTAGTAGAGCGGGTGCAGTCAGACTAGCGGAGCATAAAAATCTAGTAGCAAAATCTAGATTAGTTGACCCGAATAAGATAAGAAATCTGGGGAATAGTTCAGCCGTAGATAGCACTCACTGCATGCAATTACACACAACCATACAATGGATGGCGGGATAAGATGACAATTTGCCTTAAAATCTAATGTAACAGCAAGGTGGAGGGAGAGATTGATAACAACGGAAGCTTTGTTTATCGAATCAACTGAATGGAAACACGTGTAATAGGAATGATTCAACACCTATCCAGTCAGATATCTGGAAAATTCTACTATCCTAACGACGATAAATAGGAGAGACCAAAGAAAACTATAAAACTCAAGTTTCGAAGTAGTGTGAATATAATTGATATGGTTATGAACAATGATAATTTTTGTTCGAAACTTTGTCATCCATCAAATAATACAGTTTCACTTTGTGATATATCTAATAAACAAACTAATATGGAATTACTTACTACCACAGTGCCCAAGTTTTACACATATATTAAGAGAAACTTCTCCAAAACAAAATGTGATCAATTCATCCAATTCATGTTTGACAATTGTTGCATCAATCATAAAAAAGATAAATAATGATGATAATGGTTAATGAGAAAGAAGATTTAAAAAGTTACGTAGAAAAATGTTGCCTCCTTGGGCCACAACCATCAACATCATCATCGTACACGGTTAAACTCATTATCTTTGCTTAGTCATCTGAACACGAGGTGTGTGTGTGTGTGGGTGTTTGTCGACTGAGAATATCTATGAGGTGGCAATAACATCTGATTTTAACACATTTTAAAAGAGAAAATCAAATCAAGCAATTAAGCAACGACTGGGTTACAGTCATCGATTTGTTGTTGTTGTTGCTGCTGCTGCTGATTGTATTTCTCTTCATTGGAATGCTGATTTCTCCCATCTGGATAATCAGAAGCTATCAGTTGTCCATTCAATTCACCCTCTTGTTGGTGTTCTCTCTGTGTTTGATCGTCAGTGAAATGCACGTATGTAGTATTAGAATTTCTATATTTTTGATAAAAATGTACTGACAGGATGAAACACAATGCAGGTATTGAAAATGTAACAATACACAGTAAAATAATCTTTGCTATCTTCGGTGCCTTAATTATTCCATAGGTCAATTGATCAATTAGTGTGTCATTCAACTGGACAGATTCATTGATAAACATGATTGGTAGTAGGACAGTGGATAGATTTTTTAATTGTACAAATTTTTGATTATTTTTAACGTGAAGATTAACTTGCATCTTTTTTTCAGCTTTTATTATACCACCGGTATTCGGTTCCACATAGATGACTGTATTGAATTCATCAGTGGGATGAAGACCGTCGACAGCCTCCTGATAGGATTTATCACTCTGTGAAAAAAAACACATAAACAGACAAATAAATAAATAAGTGCAGAGTGAGATAGAACAAAGAATGCATAACGAATACAAATAGTAAATAAGCCAAACGTCTAGTTACTGAGGAGGAAGATATCAGCAAGTAATAAAAATTGGTTCAGTCCACTCTTGAATCAAATAATTATCCTAAAACCTTCATAAAAAGATATTTAAAATGTTAAGATAAGGATGAATCGAAATCTGATGCTAAGAATTGGGTTAGTATAGCGGTGATTCCTTACCGCAAAGAAACATCCGATGAAATAAAGCGAATCCTTAACGACCATAATATACGAGTGTATTTTCGTGCATCAAACACCTTACGCGCATTACTGGTGAAGGTTAAGGATAAAATAGAACAAGAAAACCAGCAGAATTGAGTACACCAGATCAACTGTGGGGATTGTAACGCCGTATATGTAGGAGAAACTTCCAGACAGGTAAATATAAGAGTGAAGGAGCATAAACAATGTCTAAAGGTGGTTCCAAAGACCTCTGCAGACTTGAAGAAGCTAGAAAACAACTCAGCGATTTCACTGCATTCGATAGAAACGGGACACAAAATCGACTTTGATAAGACTAAGGTTTTACAGAAAGGTTTTGGTTCACATAGAGAAAGACTGACTGCAGAAGCCCTACATATATGGGTGAATCCCAACAGTTTGAACAGACGTGAAGGTGTGATCTTAGCTGATGTATGGCAAATCCTGACTAAAAAATAAATTGGATATGTATCAACAACTAGTCACACTTGATCGAATTCCCGATTGTCTACGTCTTCTTGTGGAGAGAATAACAAATTTATAAAATTATATTATATTTGTAAAAAAAGAAATCTCAATTATTTTGCAACTATCCGGTCAAATCTTGATCACAGATCATATGAGAATAACAAATGTTTTATGACTGTTCACCCACACACACATACACACACACCACTGTATACTGCATTTCCCCCTTTTTTTAACAAAAGTAGACTAATATTTGAAAGTGTGAGGTCAAATTTTGACCACAATTCATAAAAAATTTTGTTTTGTTTGTTTATTACACCTATTGATAGCTGTTTCTTGATTCATATGACAGGATAAACAATTTAAAACAAGAGATGTACTTTTATATATAAACATACAATTTTATTTATTTATTTATTATATATGTTGATGCCGGTTGCATGGCTCATGATTGGACAAGATTTAAAAACAAGAGTTGTTCCTTTTATATATAAACCTCTGTTATGTTAATTTCGATTAATTTCCCTGCAGATTACCGAACGAAACGTTGGAATTAATCATTTCAATTTTGCTGAGATTTTACAATTATAATTTTATAAAAGTAAATTAGATGGTTGCAGGTAATCGGCAGGAAGCCTTGCTTGACCTAGATTCCTTCAAGGTTGCAGATACGCCTTGCTGACTGACTGGTGAGTGCCAACTAGCACGAAATCTAGGTCAGATAGGGCTTCCTGTGGCCGATTTCCTCCAACCATCTAATATCATCAAATCACTGTGCACCGTGATGACCAACTACCTAGAATGGTGGCCCCAGTGCAGACTTGACTGACTGATAGAATTCAGTCTGCACCAAAGATAGGAGGACTAGACACATCACACTAGTTACTGACTAGTGTGCAAACAAATAGTAAATATCAAGCGGACTAAATACCTCGACTTTTTTTTTCTACTGAAGCTGGTTATCCTCAGGGTGTTGTTCTCTCTCCTCTTCTTTTCTTCTCCTGACATGACTTGCCTCTTTCAGAAGAAATCAGTTTTGTTAAATTCGCTGATGATGTGACTGCATCGTTACCATTTAAATCCCGATCTGACTGTTTCAAACTTCATAACATTTTGTCGGACATCAGCCGAATGGTCTTAGGTTAAATCCCTCTAAATGTCCAACAGTTAACTTCACCTTCAGAAGTCAACCTGATCTGCAAGAGCTAGTTCGTTCATAAAGATGCTTGTAGCATAGATCTCACTGAAATAGAAACTAAGTCAAGAGTTGAATGTCTTAGAATAATTCAATCCTATGAATAAGCTTTCATTTCTCTCAAATCTGTATGGAGGTCAGCAGTACTCAGAATGAAAAATAAGATCCGGATTTTCAACTCCAATGTGAAGTCACTGCTACTTTATGGATCGGAGACTTGCACTGCGCCTCATAAAGAGCATCTCAAACAAACTATAGACCTTCATCAACAGCTGTCTTCTCTTACTACTCAAGATCAGATGGCTTGTCAGAAAAGTTCAGCATCAAAGATCTCTGAGAGCAAACCAACCAGGAACCGATTGTGCAACAAACAAGCAGGAAGAAAAGGAGGTGGATTGGCCATACTCAGAGAAAACAAACCATCAGGTGATATCCCATGACAGCCTCTCGAGTGCAGCGAGAAGGGGAAGCAGCGAGTTTGTCATCAGTGTGAGGGTGACATGGAGGAGGAGGTGATGTGAAGAGGAGATGAAAGCGTGTGGGCAGATCTGGAGTCAGGTGAAAACTTTAGCAGAGAACCGAACGCAATGGAGACGTGTGTGTGAAGCCCTATGTTCCTCTAGGAATTGAAGGAAAAATAATAATAAATGACTTTTATTGGTCATCCTATATCTTGTCGATTTCTAAGAAAATCCTACGTCGAACATTCTACACTAAAAGAAGCTAAGACGATCTGGAATTACTCAAACTCTACTTTGATAATTTGTTAGCTCTGGTATCTTATCTATTGTACTTTACTGCACTCCCTTATTCTTTCCTGAGCTACTGAAAAGGGACTATGTGATGACTAAATCAGTTTGAAAATCTTCTGTAGTCGAAAGATTAGGATTTTTATCAACAATGTTAAGTCAATCACTTCTTTACATGTATCAGAAACTTGTCGCATTACATAAAGCATTCCCAGCAGGTTACAGACTTCTATCAACAGCTCTGCCTTTGCTGTTTCTATATAAAAGATCAAATGCCTGACAAGAAAGAATTAGCAACAAGAGACTGTAAGGAGGAACCAACCAAGTACCCATTGCCAAATAGTATAACGAAGCAAAAATGGAGATGAACTGGACATATACCGAGAAGACTGTTGAGTAATATAGTGCGCTAGGTGAAATCTCAAGTGACACCCGTACAGGAAACGATGAGTGAAGCATCCTGAGGTGACACATACAGGAGATCGTGAGAAAAGGACACCAGAGATGATGGCCAATCGTAGGGTCAGTTAAAGAAGATCGCAAAAAATAGAATAAGGTGGAGATGTGCTGTTAAAGCCGTATGTTCCACTTGGAACTCAAGGGAACAATAATAATGATAAAAATGTTCTAGCAATACAAACATCCTCAGAGTTCGTAGTTCAACCATTATAGTCAAATAAGTCCTAAAACAATACCCCCCCCCCAAAAAACCATAAATATTGCCTATCAGACTTTGAGAAGGCCTTTGACAGCGTCGACCGCGAAGTAATTTGCAAACTACCCGAGTACTACGGCGTACCCCAAATATTCACCAATCTTATTCAACAGCTGTACGACAACGGCACGTGTCAAGTGATCCACAACGGAAAACTCAGCGAGGCGTTTGGAGTAAACACAGGAGTCAGACAAGGGTGCTTATTATCACCAATGATATTCCTAATTGTGGTGGACTGGATTATGCGTCAGACAGTGGGAAACGAGAAGACAGGGATATCCTGGACCGACGTGAATAGCCTAGAAGACCTGGATTTCGCGCGTGGATGATTTATGTTTGATGTCACACAAAATCGAAGACTTACAAGTGAAAACCGACAAACTGGTCGAAGAGGCTGGCAGCAAAGACAGGACTCCAGGTGAACATAGACAAGACGGAGGTTATGAAAATAACCAACCAACAACAACAACAGCAGCAGCAACATCCAGCGCCAATCACCATCGACGGGAGGGATTTGAAAGAGGTTACTTCATTCACTTATCTACGGAGCATTGTCTCAACTACACGAGGAACTGACGGACGAGGATGTCAAATCAGGAATTGGGAAGGCGAGAAACACATTCATCAACCTGAAACCAATCTGGAAATCTTCCGCTGTCACTCAGCCTGCATCAACAACAAAGTGATTCGGATTTTCAATACAAACGTCAAGTCAGTCAGTTCTTCTATAAGGATTAGAAACTTGGCAGCGGGTCACAAAGAATATTTCCAACAGCCTGTTGCACACCTTTATCAACAACAACTGCCTTCTCTGGCTCTATACTGAACATCAGATGGTCGGAAAGAACAAGAACCAACAAGAAACTATGGGAACAAACAAAACAGGAACCAATCGCTCAACAAATATGCAGGAGAAAGTGGAGATAGATTGGACATTCGCTGAGGAGGCTGTTGGGTGACATCGCGCGTCAGGCCATAGCTCGAGTGGAACCCGAAAGGGAAGCGGCGAGTGGGACGTCAGTGCAAGGGTGACATGGAGGAGATCGTGTGAAGAAGAGTTGAAACAGTATGGACTAACATGGATGCAGGTGAAAAGTACAGGAGAAGACAGAATCAAGTGGAGACGTGTAGTTGAAGCCCTATTTTCCACCAGGAATCTAAGGGAACAATAAATAACAATAATAATGTACTGATCAAACGGGTTAGCAGCCATATTGCATTTAATAAGGCTTGTATAGTGTAACATGCCGAACAGTGCACACTAACAGTTTTTTTTATATTCCTTTGATCGATAACTGAATATCACATCAACACCAGAGATCGTGAACAGCTACACCAGATGAGATTTTGTCAACCATCAGTTCAATAGATTTGACACAAATTTACAGACTATTATCATTCTAAATGCAATTAAAGTGAACACGTTTCCAATATAGATTTCACTTTAATAGTATGACCGTGGCCCCCATTCATATGCGTGCATAAACATACATACACACAGATCTTTCTAAAAACACTCATCAGACCAACAAATATTGATTAAAATTCAAATCAACTACTACATATCATATGAGACAAAGTTA